CAATGAAACTCGAGCAGGGGATAAATTTTTCTATTGGGAAAATCATAAATATCATAATTTCAAAATATAATTTCAAAACCATCATTCAATATTATTTTTCCTAAAATTGTAAATATATAGATTTAGATAAGAGAATAATGTGACTTAAATTGATGGTTAAAAAATGATACTGAATGATTATTGTTTCTCATCTTTTCGCTTCCTAAAGAAAGGACAACCAGTTGAAATTCTTCCAAATATTGTCACAAATTCCAAAACAGAAAATAGAACCCCAGATCTCAATGGCTTGATTATCCAAAATATATGAATAAATAGGCCACAAATGTCAAACGTAATTACTCCAGAATAATTGTTTTTTTTTTAATCCACAATTTCTCCACCATAATTGCCCACATTTTCTGTATTTTTTTATCAATTGTTGAAGCACATAATTGAACAATTGTTTATAAACAACTGTTCCATTCATAGGAAATGACCTTAATATATTTTGTGTTTTGTGAAGATTTTGATAGTGACCTAATACGTTGTGACTCTAAGAGTGTGACCTAAGATATGTGTTTTTTGATATTATCGTTTCGTGCAAATATTGTCGTTATGTCTTGTGACTGAGTTCTGAAATATTTGTAGCACGTTATGTGTTTATGATTGTCATTCATAAATATATCATAATATTTTGTCCCATATATCATGTCTAATTCATTCTATAGTTTCCAATTATTTACGCGTTCTATGAAATTGTGATTTAAGGTTGAAGTATTCATAGGAATTGATTTTCTCTTCAAAGATTTTTGGTTTGATTTTGAATCTGTTAAAGATGGTAATTACCTTTAGATCTAGGATTACTTACTAAACCTATATTATTTGATAATATAATTTTAAAAATAAAATATATACTTAAATATTATTTAGTGAAAAATCTGATTAAAGATAAACAAATTTAAAATTGTTATAAATTATATGTTTATTAGTGAATGATTATTATACCCTTGCAGTACTAGTTATAGTACATTAGTACTAGTTATTATGATTATTGTATCCCTTACAGTCCTAATTATTTCATATAAATATGGAGTTTTGGTTTTCAATAAAATACACAAGTCTAATTATATCTTTACTTTCTTCTCTTTTTATCTTTATTTTATAACACATTATCAGCATGATTCTCTAAAAATTATAACAAATGAGTTTTAAGTTACTTAAATGGCAAACATCAAAACACTCGAGATGAATTCTCAAGATACCCATTTAGTTGATAGTGCAACTATGTATACTATTCTTCAATATAAAAAGTACTTTTTGAATTTAACATTAACAAAAATAAATGTTAATACAATATCAGGTGCATCGAATATTGTTGAAAGTTTTGGAAGAGCTTGTATTATTTTATCAAATAATACAAAACTATGTATTGATGACGCACTTTATGTAATGAATATCACATTGTTACTATGCAAGAAAATAATATTAAATATATTTGCATAACTTATTTTGTATCTCACCATACTGACACTCTCTTCTAACATGTATTATATATTCATGAAAATAATTGGATTAAACGTTATCACGAACCTGAAGTTCGTTGACTCTATGTGACTTTATACACTATGAAAGGATTGTATTATTATTTTAGAATCAACATTACAAAAATTCTCACAATTTGGACAACCCCGCGCAGCTGTGATAAATCTCAAATAAAAAATGGAGCAATTAGCAAAGATAGTCCTATAAAGGAGGAACATTCTCTTAGTGAGTATTTAGATATAACAAATTGTAAAATCTTAGAGAAGGTTTAGGTACCTGAAATAATGAAATTTAAGATATCTCAATAAGTTATGTCATTATGGAGAATGAAATTGAATCAAAAAGAAAAAAACTTGTTGACAATATGATGTGAGCTGGAATAGGCTACAATCAACCGAGAGTACAATATTTGTTGAGGAGATGGATGGCGAAATCGAGACCTCAAAATTTTCCTTTTTTCCCGAAATTACCTTATTTGATTATGATTCTATTCCATTTGATATATTTGTAATCTTAAGAGTCTATTTTTGTTTTAACCACCTTAATTAGGNCTGAAATTACCTTATTTGATTAGGATTCTATTTTATTTGATATATTTATAATCTTAGGAGTCAATTTCCGTTTAACCACCTTAATTAGGGTTTAGTATAAATAGATTTCATTATTTTCATTGTAACTTGAACAACATTATTATGGAATTAATTTGAAAGGCTATATTGCTTTCTTTCTTTTGTTCTTCACGAAACAATCCTACCGAACTTATCGGGTTAATTCTCATGGCGTTCAACCCATCAAGTGAGATTTGTTTATCGCTGTAATCATGGGGTCAAGGTATTTTCATAATTGCTTTGGTTTCTTGGTTCAATATTTCCGGGACGAACTTTAATTTCCGGTTAGATTTCTTAAATCATGTAATTAAGAGGTCAACATATCATATTGATTGTGTTGGTTGTTTAATTCATTGTTTTTCGAGTCAAATCCATAAACTTTGTTTGTTTGGACTTTCTTGGGTTGGATTTCAATATCATGTAGGTTCCGTAACCTTCGTTGCTACGTGGGTTCACATCACAACATTTTTTATATAATGTAGTGCATCATTAGAAATGATAATGAGGATATTGAAGAAAATTCTTCAGAGAATACCAACGCATAATAATTAGTCAAACTTACTAAAGAAACCTGAAATTTCTGGACCTACAGTCCGATCATCAAAAATGAAGTCATAATATGTAATGCATGACTTTTAAGATAAATTTTGCAAATACTTGTATGAATAGCAAAATGAAGGTGACGAAGGATAGCATTCATCTCCATAGGGACGGGAAAAGGGCATATTTCAAATTGTAGACTTTCACCAGATGTCGTGGACTTGGCTTGCGATCGGTTTTCAAAAAGCACCTTTGGGCAATGGTTTTTCTATCCTCTCTCTCACTTGAAGAAAGATAGCCACTATTATTATGTTATGATATCACGATTATTGGCCTTCTTTCGAGCTGTCACACCATTTATTAATGTGGTGGTGTACGGAATAGGTGCACGCTTTACATCAGTGGATGATTTCACAATTACCCAAACTCGAGCAATGGTAGCAACGGTTACTGATTACCTGAATGAACCACCAGGAGCAATCGAAAAATTTCCCCATCGTCCCCAATTATTTACGCCTATAACGGTCACTAATTACCTGACTGAACCACCAGGAGCAATCCATCATTTTTGTCGGGCCCGACAACCATGGCCCCAATGATGGTATTTGGATTGGGCTTTGGGGAATCATGTCATATCCATCTTCCTTCACAACTATATATTTTCCCGTCATTGGGAATTGAAGCCCCTCAATGGTGGACCTACTTCGGAAATCTCCTCTCCATGACACGTTATTCTTCTCTCGTAATTTTACAGCCGTAAATATCAAAAAAATATTATGAAAATAGCAACCAATATCTACATATTGTAACATTAGTGCAACCTTCTCATGTCATCAAATTTGTGCCAAAGAATTATCAATGAACAATTATTTTATTTTATTTTTATTTTTATTTTTTATTTTTTGTAATCAATGTCCAAATATCCTGATTTTAACAAACCAATTAGTTGGAACTAAAACATTTTGTAAAATAAGAGTCTTAGAGAGTAAAATCATCTATTTAATTGGACAAAAACATCAAGAATCAATGTAATTTTTTGGACCTTATTAAAGGGGTGGGCCATTTCAAATTTTGTACAAACTTCAAGTATATAAATCCATATTCAAATTGAGTATTGAATTTAATTTAATTTAATCTAATTTCTTACCGTGTTGGGCGTCGAAGAACAGAGTGCCTTGTCTAGTGCCACTGTGTAATTACTTGGGGTCGGCGGGTGATGGCGGAAAACACCGTCGTCCCTATGGTGATTGATCCAACCAGTAATATTATGGCCAAGATGGCGTCGAAGATCAACAAAAGAATGCACCTTGAGATGACGACATATCCCAATTTTACCTTCTTCTTTTTCGTCGTTTTTTGGCATCGGAGTTTCCAACTGTTTTTAATTTCTTCGTTTCTCAGAAGCTCAACTGCTTCATTGTCGACCTCCGCCACTTCAATTTCGAATGTGCTCATTTTTATAAGAACAATTCTACTTTCACTACATATAACGACCTTATATATTTTCGAATGTTGAAACAATAAATAAGAGACCGCTTATATCAACATTACTGCTAGAAAATACTACTTCAACGACCAAAATATTTCGTCGGTAACACAACCTTTCCACAAAATTTTCCCGTCGATACATACCGAAGGTGAAAGTCCCGTCGATAATTTTTTTGACGAAAACATAATCGTCGGTTGTAACCGACGGATTTACCTTCAGATACAGATCCATCAGAAACACCTACGAATTTGAATGGACGTTATCAGCATCAATTTTAGAGACTACTTAGTTCGAAGGAAGCTACCGACGGATTTTTTTCATTCCATTTATGTTGGTAAATTCCTATGGATATGTCCATTTGTATTTTCGTTGATAATTTACCTACATTATTTTCGTTACCGAAGTCGCAATTTCTAGTTTGTAAATTTACAAAAAAAAAATTGGAAAATATATTTAATAAGAATAGAGAAAATAGTTTTAACCATGTATGACTGTACTTTGTTTTAGCTTTTAGTATATAGGTAATGTAGTATTACAATAAGTTGATCATATCTACATGATTAATGTCTGTGAATGTCGGCCCAAAGATTGCATGCACAACTTTATAAGAACAATTCTACTTTGACTACATATAACGACCTTATATATTTTCGAATGTTGAAACAATAAATAGGAGACCGCTTATATCGACACAATTTTTCAACAAATGAATCAATAAGATGGACATGGAATCTAGGAAGCCAGTGCATCACTAGAAATTGGTTGAAACATCAAATTTGTGTTGAGAATGGTAGAAAGCCCAACAAACTAAAATTCCACCAAAATTACATTAGACAAACATTTTAAAGGACATTGCTTCCACTTGGTAACGGGACGATCAAAATCGATGTCCTCGGACGTGTCCAACAGTATCGATCATTTGGGGATAGACCTCCACTAGTATCCCCATCTCCAACCTGCTGAGAAAAAATTTGAAAGTTAAAAATATACATTAACAAATGAAAATGAAAATGAAAATATAACAACAAAATATGGAGTACGAAAAACGAAGTGATTGGGGAATTTTCAAAAACTAAAGATGTAGTATTTACCTGCAGCACAATACGATCTATAGAACGGGGGGTAAAATCAAAAGTCTTGTGGAAATAATCAGTGCCCCATTTAATAATATCTTTAACATGTGCTAGTTTTCCATCAGCTTCATACTTGGCACTGTATTCGATCGCGCTCCAACTAAACGTAGTCATAGCAAAAGACGTCGGGAAATTGAACTTGATCGCATCCCCGACATAATAATATCCGCCTGATGAAATTTTGATGATTGATGAACTTTTAGATTGCCCGTCATCTAAGCCAGAATCTCCCTTCTGTGACACGTTATTCTTCCCTGGTAATCTTCCAGCTGTAAATATAAAAAAAAAAATTGTGGAATAGAAACCAATTTCTACATATTGTACCATTACAGCAACCTTCTCATGTCGTCAAATATGTGCCAAAGAAGTATCAATGAATAATTTATTTTTATTTTTATTTTTCGTAATCAATGCCCAAATATCCTCATTTTAATAAACCAATTGGGTGGAACTAAAACATTTTTTTTGCAAAAAGAGGGTCTTATAGAGTAAAATAACTTCAAGTATATAAATCCATATTCAAATGGAGAATTGAATTTAATTTAATTTAATCTGCTGAAAAGGTGGTCCGTTTCCAATTTTGTACAAACTTCAAGTATATAAATCCATATTCAAATTGAGTATTGAATTTAATTTAATCTAATCTAATTTACTTACAGCGTTGGGCGTCGAAGAACATGAGCGCCTTGTGTAGTTCCACTGTGTAATTACTCGGGGTCGGCAGGTGGTGGCGGGGAAACACGAGCTTCCCTATGGTGATTGATCCGGCCAGTAATATTATGGCAAAGATGGTGCCGAAAATCAATAGGAGCACGTATCCCAACTTTACCATCTTCTTCTTCGTCTTTTGGCATCGCGCACGAGCTATTTTCAGTACTTTTTATTGTCTTTGAAAACAATCGACGCGGAAGCTAGTGCAGCAGCTAGTTCTACACATCTTTGACACTCGGTAATAGGTGGAACATAATCGTTGTCCTCTGGACATAGCCAACAGTAGCAATCATTTGGGGATGACGTTGAACCAAATTACTTGGTAAAATGGAGAAGGGAAGAGAAATGGTAACAATAAGAACACAAAATCCCGTTGGAATTTTCGAGAAGATACTATACCTGTGATATTTATTTTTGGGGAGATCTAAAGACAATGTCAATATTGTCCTTTTAATAACATTTTAACTTATTACTTAAAGAGAAGGATAAAATCATCCTTTAGAATAAATCTAGCATTACTACTAGTAAATACTGCTTCAACGACCAAAATATTTCGTCGGTAACACAACCTATCGACGAAATTTTCCCATCGATACATACCAAAGGTGAAAGTCCCGTCGATAATTTTTTTGATGAAAACATAATGATCGGTTATAACCGACGGATTTACCTTCAGATACAGATCCATCAGAAACTCGGGCGGATTTGAATGGATGTTATCAGCATCAATTAGTTTATAGAGGTTATACGGTATAAGGACACGTCTAAAATGGAGCATTGCCTTTGTTATTTTCTCACGGGGCTCCAATCTTTGTGCATCCATTGGCTCTAAAGCCACAAAGTGCGTCCTCATTTAGAACGGGTCATGCGATCCTCATTTGGAGGTATCATCGCCCGCTTAATGGTATCTACAAAACATGGTTCGGGACACAGATCTCTGTTCATCTTCCACGGTGCTTTAAACGGTTCATTATTATTGATTCATATTTGATGGCCTTAAAGAATTCAATAATAAAACAATTTGCACAAGATTTTTTTCATAGAACATATAGATATGATTTCTTGACAAAATTCTGTAAGATGTAGCAGCAGCCAGGTTTATTGCGAGACAATCACTTTTTTCTATCTAATAATCCCTATAGTGGCTTCATTGTCATTCAATTTCAACAGCTTCATAGCCAATGATCGTAACATAACTTTAGAAAAATCTGCTTATGCAGTAAACCAACAAGACGCTGAGTACACCTACAAGTGTAGGCAGGGTAAACGTATTCAAAGCTTATGCACATTTGGGATAAGTCCTTGATGAAAAATCTCGTAGATTCTTGTGACAATAGCATGAATCATGAACACAAGCTTTTGGCATACCGTGTCAATCAGGTTACCACGATGGTGGTGATGGCGGCGGTGACAGAGTATTGGAACCATCCAGATGGCAGAGCATAGTTTATTGTATCCTCGTCAATGCCCATGTACTTGTCACCGGACAAAGCAACAAGTGCCGCAACTAGACCGGCATTTCCTGCTAGTGTTGGTTCTACGAAGTTGTAATTAGCTCGAAGATCGTCAAGTCCATCATTTTTGTCAGGCCCGGCAACCATGGCCCCAATGATGATATTTGGATTAGGCTTTGGTGAATCATGCCATATCCATCCTCCTTCACAACTATATATATTTTCCCGTCATTGGGATTTGAAGCCCCTCAATGGTGGACCTACTTCGGATATTTTTTTCCATATCCTACCACATAACTCAGATTTCTGGGGATTTATTCCCAGGATGTAATCGATCTAAAAGTTTAAGGAAAAATCATTAGTAAATACTGACAATTAAAATAAAAATCGAGTAGAGATATTGGTTCAACAGTAAAATTGACCTATGTGATTGTAAAATCCCGAAGGGTAGGCCTATAAAAGAAATATGGTCCACAGTTCCACCCATGAACACCAACAGCTTTGAGATAGTCAATGTATAGCGTAGCTAAGAAGACTGCATTGACTACATATTGAAGAGGTCGAGGTTCTCCATGATTTAGTTCAACCAAACCACCTGTCGAAAGTCCCCGACATTGAATTAAAGCCTCATGAAAATAATTCTTCATTTTACCACCTTGACATTAAAAAAAAATTACCTTCCATTCTTTTAAAATGAGTAAAAAATGAGAGGTAGGAACACATTAATACACGGGTCTGGTTGTCGAATGTTCACATAATATCTTCATATTGGTAGCCAGGGTCCCAAAACATTCTCAACCGAGTAAGAGGACATAAACAAAGAAAAAAAGTTCAAATCACAAAGTCATCAATTATAAGTTTAGCAACTTGGGTAAAGAATAGTAATCACTAGTAATAACGTCACTTGATTCTTGATTGATTTATATCACACGATTGATAGTTGGATAAATATAATGTCAAGAGAATATTTATAAAATATAATTATGCTCCATATGCATTTCAACAATAGCAATAGAACAAAATAAGTTTTTCGTTCAACTTACTTGAGCTCCAGGAAGCTTGTCGTCCCAACTTAGGACACCATGAAGAGGTCCTCTCATAAAAGCTCCGGTACGCTCGACAATATAAGGACTTGTAGCAAGATGAAGATAGGAAGTGCTTCATGTCGCATAGTAAAGCCAAGTGGCGCCGCAAACAAACTCATCCCAATAATTAATGGAAAGCGAACCTTCAATGCCAAAACCGTTATTTCTCAGCTCATCTTGAGAAAATTTAAATAGTGTTTTGGCGCTATGCATGAGCTTTCCCGAGTACTTCTTGTTGTCCTTGAAAACAATTGATGCGGAAGCTAGAGCCGCATCCATTTCTGCAGCTAGATCTGGACATTGTTGGCACTCGACAACAGGACGATCATAATCGATGTCCTATCATTAGGGAATGGACCTCCACTAGTATCCCCATGTCCAACCTACCGAGAAAAACTTTAGAAGTTAAAAATATACATTAATAAGCAAAAATGAAAATACAAGAACAAAAATATGGAATACAAAATTCAATGTGGATATGGAATTTTCAAAAACTAAATATGCAGTATTTACCTGCTGAACAATACAATCTATAGAATGGGGGTAGAATCAAAAGTCTTGAGGAAATAATCAGTGCCCCATTTAATAATATCTTTAACGTGTGCTAGTTCTCCAGGGGCTTCATACGTATTCTATCACGCTCCAACTCAACATAGTCATGGCAAAAGACGTCGACAAATTGAACTTGATTGCATCCTCGGCATAATAATATATGCCTGATAAACTTGGCACTGTATTCTATCTCGCTCCAACCCAATGTAGTCATAGCAAAAGACGTCGGGAAATTGAACTTGATTGCATACCCGACGTAATAATATCTGCATGATAAAATTTTGAAGATTGATGAACTTTTAGATTGCCTGTCATCTAAGCCAGAATCTCCCTTCCATGACACGTTATTCTTCTCTTGTAATCTTCCAACTGTAAATATAAAAACAAATTATGGAATAGAAACCAATATCTACATATTGTAACATTACAATAACCTCCCATGTCATCAAATATGTGCCAAAGAACTATCAATGAATAATTTATTTTTTTCCGTAATCAATGTCCAAATACCCTCATTTTAATAAAACAAATGTCAACATTGTCCTTTTAATAACATTTTAACTTATTACTTGAAGACAAGGATAAAATATCATTTAGGATAAATCCAGCATTACTACTAGAAAATACTGCTTCAACGACCAAAATATTTCGTCGGTAACACAACCTATCGACAAAATTTTCCCATCGATATATACCGAAGGTGAAAGTCCCGTCGATAATTTTTTTGACGAAAACGTAATCGTCGGTTGTAACCGACGGATTTACCCTCAGATACAGATCCATCAGAAACACCTACGGATTTGAATGGATGTTATCAACATCAATTTTAGCGACAACTTAGTTCGAAGGAAGCTACCGATGGATTTTTTTCATTCCATTTATGTTGGTAAATTCCTATGGATATGTCCATTTGTATTTTCGTTGATAATTTCGTTAACGAAGTCGCAGCTTCAAGTTTGTAAATTTACAAAAAAAATTGGAAAATATATTTCTTAAGAATAGAGAAAATAGTTTTAACCATATATGATTGTACTTTGTTTTAGCTTTTAGCATATAGGTAATGTAGTATTACAATAAGTTGATCATATCTACATGATTAACGTCTGTGAATGTCTAGGCCAAAGATTGCATACACAACTTTATAAGAACAATTCTACTTTCACTACATATAACGACCTTATATATTTTCGAATGTTGAAACAATAAATAAGAGACCGCTTATATCAACATTACTGCTAGAAAATACTACTTCAACGACCAAAATATTTCGTCGGTAACACAACCTTTCCACAAAATTTTCCCGTCGATACATACCGAAGGTGAAAGTCCCGTCGATAATTTTTTTGACGAAAACATAATCGTCGGTTGTAACCGACGGATTTACCTTCAGATACAGATCCATCAGAAACACCTACGAATTTGAATGGACGTTATCAGCATCAATTTTAGAGACTACTTAGTTCGAAGGAAGCTACCGATGGATTTATTTCATTCCATTTATGTTGGTAAATTCCTATGGATATGTCCATTTGTATTTTCGTTGATAATTTACCTACATTATTTTCGTTACCGAAGTCGTAGTTTCAAGTTTGTAAATTTACAAAAAAAAAATTGGAAAATATATTTAATAAGAATAGAGAAAATAGTTTTAACCATGTATGACTGTACTTTGTTTTAGCTTTTAGTATATAGGTAATGTAGTATTACAATAAGTTGATCATATCTACATGATTAATGTCTGTGAATGTCGGCCCAAAGATTGCATGCACAACTTTATAAGAACAATTCTACTTTGACTACATATAACGACCTTATATATTTTTCGAATGTTGAAACAATAAATAGGAGACCGCTTATATCGACACAATTTTTCAACAAATGAATCAATAAGATGGACATGGAATCTAGGAAGCCAGTGCATCACTAGAAATTGGTTGAAACATCAAATTTATGTTGAGAATGGTAGAAAGCCCAACAAACTCAAATTTCACCAAAATTACATTAGACAAACATTTTAAAGGACATTGCTACCACTTGATAACGGGACGATCAAAATCGATGTCCTCGGACGTGTCCAACAATATCAATCATTTGGGGATGGACCTCCACTAGTATCCCCATCTCCAACCTACTGAGAAAAAATTTGAAAGTTAAAAATATACATTAACAATTGAAAATGAAAATATAACAACAAAATATGGAGTACAAAAAATAATGTGATTGTGGAATTTTCAAAAACTAAATATGTAGTATTTACGTGCTGCACAATATGATCTATAGAGGTTATACGGTATAAGGACACATCTAAAACGGGACACTGCCTTTGTTAGTGTCTCAAGGGGCTCCAATGTTTGTGCATCCATTAGCTCTAAAGCCACAAAGTGTGTCTTCATTTAAAGAGGGTCATGTGATCCTCCTGTCGATTACCTTATATCGGCATCTCCACTACGATACTTTCGCACTCCTACATTTGGAGGTATCATGGCCCGCTTAATGGTATCTACAAAACTTGGTTGGGGACACAGATCTCTGTTCATCTTTCATGGTGCTTTAAACGATTCATTATTATTGATTCATATTTGATGGCCTTAAAGAAATTCAATAATAAATCAATTTGCACAAATTTGGATATGATTTCTTGATAAAATTCTGTATGATGTAGCAGCAACCAGGTTTCTTGCTAGATAATCAGTTTTTTCTATTTAATAATCCCTCTAGTGGCTTCATTATCATTCAATTTCTGCAGTTTCATAGCCAATGATCGTAACAAAACTTTAGAAAAATCTACTGATGCAATAAACCAACAAGACATTGAGTACACCTACAAGTGTAGGCAAGATAAACATATTCAAAGCTTATGCACCTTTGGGACAAGTCCTCGATGAAAAATCTCACGGATCTTGTGACAGTTGCATGAATCATGAACACAAGCTGTTGGCTTACCGTGTCAATCATGTTACCACGGTGGTGGTGGTGGCGGTGGCGGAGATTGGGACTATCCAGATGGCAAAGAATAGTTTATTGTATCCTTGTCAATGCCCATGTACTTGTCACCGGACAAAGCAACAAGTGCCGCAACTAGACCGGCATTTCCTGCTAGTGTTGGTTTTGTGAAGTTGTAATTAGCTTGGAGATCGTCAAATCCATCATTTTTGTCAAGCCCAACAACCATGGCCCCAATGATGGTATTTGGATTGGGTTTTGGCGAATCACGCCATATCCATCCTCCTTCACAACTATATATTTTCCATCATTGGGAATTGAAGCCCCTCTGTGGTAGACCTTATTGGGATATTTTTTTCCATATCCCACCACATAACTCAGATTTCTGGGATTTATACCCAGGATGTAATCGATCTAATAGGTTAAGGAAAAATCATAAGTAAATACTGAAAAGTAAAATAAAATTCGAGTAGAGATATTGGGTCAACAGTAAAATTGACATGTGTGATTGTAAAATGCCGAAGCATAGGCCTATAAAAGAAATATGGTCCACAGTTCCACCCATGAACACCAACAGCTTTGAGATAGTCAGTGTATAGCTTAGCTAAGAACATCAAGATTTGCTAGAGTGAAGCAGCCTTCTCGGTCGAACAACACATTTATGCGGCCAGACCTAATTCGTGATTTTGAACAGTTTTACATGGCACATAATACCTAAACGTCCCCAACTATAAATACAAAAGTCTGGGATGAATTTCAGGTAGTTGCTTCATTGTGCTATCATTACAATATACATTCATATTATTGCTTAAAGATCCAAGAACTGAATTCATTGATTNTTACTGTTTATTATACAAACTACGGTATTCAAAGATAGGAAAATTTGAATTGTTTGACTAATCACGTAGACATAATTAACTTGTGACTTGTTGCTTGTTAATTAAAGTTTTAATTCCACATTTACACCTAATCACCCCCCTCTAGGTGTAGTAAGGTCGAATCTCACGTTTCTCACTTTCGATTTTGATAAATTGTTACATGGTCAGTACTACAAACTGCGGCTTCAGTAATGGATATTTCCATTGTTAAAGTTCAATATTCAGTCAGCAATCGTACTTATCAATAGAATCTTCCGTCGATACATATCGAATGAGAAAGTCCCTTCAATAACTTTCCTACAACAACATAATCATTGGTGATCACCGATAGATTTACCTAAATATACAATTCCATTGAAAATACCAATAAATTTATATAACAGTTATTAGCAACAGTTTTAACGATTAGTTCGATAAAAATTACCAACGGTAACTTAATTGTTTTCACAGTATTTAAATATTCTTGCTTGGAATGTAATAAGAAGAAGAAAAAAGGTTATTGTTTATTGTCTAACAATAACTTAATTATTATAATTTTTTTATTGTGTATTGATTCTTAATTATTTTGTCAGTAACCATCACTATCGCTAGAGCCATGGTGTAAGTATCTGGGTTGGACGGGTGGTGGCGGGAATACACTGTCTTCCCGACTGTGTCTTCCCGACTGTGATTGATCCGACAAGAAATATTGTGATCAAAACGGCACCAAGAACCAATAGAAACTTGTGCCTTGAGATGATGACATATCCCAACTTTACTACCTTCTTTTTCTTCTTTCCTGCGGTTAGAGTTTTCAACTACTTCAAATTTCTTGAATTCTCAGAAGCTCTACCTCATCATGTCGACCTCCATATTGCGTTTTTTATACGCAAGTGTACGATATTGTAACAAGTAATATAGTGGACCTTTGAGTCCAGATTATCGTTCCCACGAGAACTATACTTTAGAACTTAATCTAATTTATCTTAACTCCTATTTAACAAAAGCAAGTAAATATTTATGATGGTTGTAATTATTTTTCCTAACTACTTTTAACTAATGAAAAATATAAAATGATTGCAAACAATTGATAATTGAAGAAACAAATATATAATGAATATTAGGGCATAACAATATCATCTATTGATCAAATTTATTCTTAATTCAAGATTCATAACCTAATGTAGTGTTCGATCGAATTCTTCTATTGAATTCAATTTACCCCTCTCAAGTTCTCATTGAGCCTATTTAACTAATGAAATTTTATATCTCTATGCGAATCAATTTTAGTTAAATGAAACACTAGTTCTAAGAATTCATATTATGATCGCAATAATTAGTATAAGTATCTCTCTACACGTTATACTAATTTATCGAATTTTATTAAATGATCTAAATCTCAAATTCACTACTCGATTCGTAAGAGGCTCATATAATCATCAAATTATTAATCAGATACTTTAATGCATTAAACTCATAATAAAATCAACACATAAATATATAAGTCACAGAATTTTTGAATAAAAAAATGAAGGATCACAAGTCGACTACATTGTTTTCCCTAATATAAAAATTAGTTATTCATATTGTAAAAATAAAAACGTGCAAAAGTGGGAAAAAATCACCAAAAATTGACCAAACGTGAAAATTTCTATTGTTTACAATTTCCTTCCTTTTTTTCTTTCTTTTTCTTCCTTTCTGTGCATTTATTCTCTCTTTTCTCCTTTAACTTTTCCTTCTCTTTCTTTCTCTTTTCTTTCTCTTTCTCTTTTTTTTTTCTTCTTTCTTTTCTTCTTCTGCTTTCTCCTCTGCGCCTCTGTCTGTCCCTGTGCCGTTTTTCTTTTGCGTGAATCCCCCTTTTCTGTCTACCTCTCTATTATATATATATATATGTAATTTGAGCCTTCAATTAAAATTTTCAATAAAAGTCTATTGAGGCACATTTAACTCCAACCCATTTAATATATTATTTATCTCCAAGGAATTCATCATTGAATTTTGTCATTTTTTACCACTTTTACATTCTTTTCTCAAATTCTTCATTAAACATATAGTTTTACCTACAATATAACATAAATTAGGTAAAATTTAATCCAAAAGACAACAAAATATCATGATTTAGGGTCACGAATAAGTGTATAAATTATACTTATCACTCTGCAACTTCGGTATTGTCCTTCTCAATTTCAATATTCTTGAGTTGGTTTACACTTCAACTACAATTCTCAAATATTAAGAAATGCTATTAATAATTTTTCGAAGTTTTTATGGTGTACATAATAACATACCTTTCGATTTTGATTAATTGCGGCATTAGTGATGGATATTTTAGTTATTGAAGGCCGATATTTTGTTGGTAACCTACTTATCGTTGGAAATTTTTTCATCAATACATACCAAAGGTGGATATTTTAGTTATTGAAGGCCGTATAATTTGAACAAACAAATTACTATAAATCGTAGAAAGCAAAGAGAGCACAAAGATTTTTCACCCCGAAAGGTCCGGATGTTCGGCCAAAGGCCTAATCACCCATTGAGCATCTACAGAGTATATATCGCTTTAGTTTCACTAGAATCACCAAGAATTGTTACAAATGTATGAAGAAATCAGAGAGATTTCTTCACTGTTGTCTCTCGCCTCAAATCACACAGATACAATACACAATTTCATCCACTATACACCAAGTATAATATGTGAAACATCACTCAGATTTACAGAGATTGAATAACAATCACTAAGACCACACAAATCGACATAGAGAAAAGACGAAACCCCCACAACTCATAAAGTGTCTCAAAAACAATAACGCCCAAATGAAAACACAAAGGACCATTAATACACGAAGACTAAAAACCACAGATCAACGGATGAGAGCAGCCAGATGTATGGCCAGGTCACGAGATCAAAACAAATGAAGACGCAAGTAAATGGAAACACGATTTCCATATTACAAACAAGCTGGGCCAAGAACCGAAAATAGCAAAAGCCCAAATACAAACAAGCTAGGCCATAAATTGTGAGGCAGCCCAAGAGACTAAACATTATCCACCTTGCTGAATAATTCTTGGTAATATCTAGTGTCTAGAGTTTTATTGTATCATTTGCTCTTATTTACCTGTAAAATGACAAAGAAGAAAAATTAGTACTTATTCAAAAAACCAATCCTGCTTGATTATTCTAAACTTACTACTGCTTAGGTGATGTTTAGAATTTTCAAGCAGTTTTTGAATTTACTTAAATGCAATACCTTGGTTCCAAATCAGAGGGATTAAATTCAGTAGAAATCTTTTCTAAGCTAATCAGACATTTTTCAACCATGTTTCTCACGAAGTGAAACTTTATATCAACATGTTTTGTTTGATCATGATACATGGGATTTTTGCTTAGATGAATAACACTCTGATTGTCAGTATAAATTCTAACCGAATTATTCAAAAAGTCAATTTCATTTAATAACCCTCTTAATTTCTTTAACAGCATCACATGCAGCTATATATTCTATCTCTGTAGAAGAAAATGCAACTAACTTTTGCAACTGTGATTTTCAAGTAATGCAGCCATCACACAAAGTGAAAACATAAAATGAAGTAGACATTCTTTTATCTAAATCTCCAGCCTTCATTACATTTTTTTAAACAGTAAACCTAATTCAGATAAACCTTTCAAGTATTTTAACATCCATTTTATAGCTAACCAATGTGTTTCGCCAGGATTAGCCATAAACCTGCTTAAAATA